GATTCGAACCTCAGTGGGTGCGTACTGATGAAGAGTCTCAAATTAGACTGACGAAACGGCTGTTCAGCACTTTCTGGAGGTTTTCCAATAGTCCTCCAACCGACGTCAGTTCATCGCGACATTGTGAAACCAATCAAATCCTTGCAAATCAATATTTGAATACCATATGTGATTATCGAGTTCCATCTAAATCATAGAAGGATGCATCAAACCCTCAGATCTATTATTCAGATCGATATCATCACTAATTATTATCTAGTATCAATCAGCTGAAGTTAAATTTCTTCATTCATTGAAACAAAGTACTAGACAGATGTTTCGTCGTCGTCTTTCCAGACTCTTCAGAGGGAATACATCGAATGGTTCCACAGGAACAGAGAGAGAGAGAGAAACAGGGAGATCAAACTAAGGATGTTCATGTTTCTAGGCTATTATCATATTACCAAACGACTAGTGAATTGAAATAAGATATTCCATGATTTGTAACTCTTTTACAGGTTATATCATATATATATATATATATATATATATATATACTTATACACCGTATACATACCGTGGTACTGTTAATATACTATCTTGTTTGTTATATGTGTAGAGAGAAGTCAGTTTATCTGTCTACTCTGCACACAGCCTTCGAGTGTTGGGAGCTTAGTTCCCACTGTCACCTGTGACCAAAAGTAGATGTATAAACTATTGTTATTTTTTTCGGATTCTAAAGCTTATGCACCCGTCAGGTTAAGCTGGAATCAGGATTCTCCAACTCTCCTTAGATTCACGCCCGATGGTTGCCAGTTCACCAGTAAACGCTGAATATTGATATTCTGTCTGTCTGCTTTCTACATAGAACTTTGCACCAATGTGCGGAAGTTCAATTCGCCACACTCCACTCCATGTACCACACAAAGCAACAGAAGAAAGTAGAAGAAATGCATAATAGAGTCAGTAAACAGAGGAGTGAGACAGAGGAATAGTATTAACGAAGAACAAAACAGTTTCATTGGAAATTATAAGTCACAGGGAGTGGATGCATTTGCTGCATTGACAACGGGGATTTTGAGCCATATCACCAATTGTTTCCAACCATTGGTTTTTACCGTCCCGAGGACCCCAACCAGAACGTCTAAACTTTCCTACGTCGCTTAAACTAACTGTTGTAGATTTCATTGACTAGTGAGGCCATGTTTTGGTTTGACCGCCACTACCTCTTTTCCAACCTGACCCTATGTTAGCTAACATTCCCCGTCGAGAGAGGTGATGGCTAGGGATGCATGCGTAACACATGTCTCAACCATCTCAATCGATGCAGGTGCTTCACAGCCTCGTCGATTGATTTCCCCTCCCACCTACCTAGAACTCGACCGAGGCCTAACCTCAATATTGCTCACCTTATTATACCACTTCACACGGGAGGGAGATAGAGAGCAGGCACCTATGATCGGAGACACCTAGTCTCTTCATGTCTTCCACTCTCAATGGCCAGGTCTCACAGCTAGCCATAAAGGAGGACGGAGTGGACTGATGAGCAGTACACCCGCCCTTTGGTCGATAGCCAACCGGATATCACGTCTACTTGTCCAGAGACGGCGTAAACTGGCATATTCGAAACTAGCCCTCTGTATCCGTGGTGAGATTTCATCAGAGATCAACAGGTTGTGGCTGATATTCATATTCACCCTTTCACTTCCATAAGAACATCTGCAGTCACCTGAATGAAGTGAATAGGAAGGCGGCTATAAGTACCTGGCTAGATCAGCGTATTTGGAGAAAACAAGCATAAGTCGAAACGTTTAGCCAATCTGTTGAAATGAGACCTTCCCCTAGATCATTAAATTGTGCGTCTACCTACATTTACTACTTATTTAGCATTGTTCATTTATGACGATTACCAAGTCCATTCAACTATTATTTATTCATTAAATAAAGGAATAAGTTTAGTATGATAGTGAACGTTTGTTATTATTATCATTGTATATATTCAGATAACATTTGACATTCTATATTTGAAAATGTTTGCCCTTGTCATGTTCCCAGAACCATCATCATCAACAACAACAAAATCAACCTTGTTATTCTTTCCCTGCTAGTTTTGATATATACATATATATACACCCTCACATATACTCTCTAATCAAAAATATATATATTTTTTCAAAATAATGCCAAATCTGTCATATTCACATCTGTCATTAGAGGTAAACACATTAACTCATACAATGTACAACTAACTTACTAGGCAGCTAGCTAGCTAACTGACATGAATGACCTTTTTCAAATGATCTTTCTCTCTCCTTCTCTCTTTAAACACCTTATTTGCCTGCAAAATTATTATGGTTATTATTATTATTCAACATGGAACTATGAATACACTCACTTTTGTTTTAATATTTGCGTGTAACCAGTTTTCGCGTGTGTGCGCGCGCGTTGTTTAATATGTGTATGTGTATACGTAGGGTTATATATATGTGTATGCATATATGGTTTCAGTTTATTTCCTTTTTTTATTTTACTCACAAATATGAAATGTTGCGTGTGGACAAGAGAGAAAGAAAAAAAAATAATCCGTTTTAGGAGTGGCAGCAAGATTATTTCGTTTAGATTATTATTATTATTATCAATGCTACTGCTACGGCTAAGGCTACAACTGCTCCACCATTCGTCTACATTTTTGTTTTGTTTGTTTCTTTTTGATTCTGTTTATGAAAGATGATGTCTAAAGTATAAATCGAAACTTTACTTGACAGTTGGTTGACATTAAACGGACAGATTTAAGGTATACTGTACATACTGGATACACCTACACTGATAGGCATAACCACACAATCTGGCAGCCCTGACATTAAAACGTGCGTGAGTACACATATCAACTTTCAGTTTACCCTTATTATATATCCTCTCAAAATCAAAAAACCTAAATGGTGGTCTATTTTAAATGTTGTTGTAGAATTTCGTTTTTTTTTATTCATTTATAATGCATAACAGATAGATGAATTTGATAGATCAGATATAAATAACTATGTAAATATTGTGGTTTTTGGCATTTTCTTATCCCGATTTGTAAATTTAAATATATATAAAAACAACGTTTTCTCTCGCTGTCTTTTGACTGACGTTGTCCATGATGGTACTATGCGCGCGCACGTGTGTGTGTGCGTGTGTTCACTGTTATATTCATACTACTAATAATCGTTTGAATAGTAGTATTTACTCGACATTTGAAAACACTGGAAGAGATAGAGGAAACAGGAAGAGGAGGAGTAGATTACAAAATTGGATGACATGCAACTATCCCGTGCCCCCTGCCAACCTTCCACCCCTGGGGGAAAACGTTTTCTCTGTTTTTCTTTTACTTATTTATCCTGTCATTCTATTTTTATCCCTTTCTAACTGTCCGATTTATTCATTGTGCATAATTTCTGTTATGTGTGTGTGTGGGGGGGGAGTGTGAATAATGTGAAAGGATTAGTATAAGTTTACGTTTTTGACAGTTTGACTTTTTGACTTGTCATATTTGTGTTGCCTATCAAAATGATGCTTGTCTCAACTTCAAATCAAATGAAAGTCAGTCAGTCATTTATTCACCCATTTCTACGAATAATGCTACTGATTTGCCTATTCTATGAACATTCTATGATTTCACGCAACTATCTACTTCCGCCCCCCAACCCGTACCCCTAAACCCTTCCATGTAATCTCCATTAAAAGCTTAGATGGTGTTTATAATGTTACTTAACATATTACTCTTGTTAAACACTCTTCTTCTTCTTGTATCGTATACTGTCATGGAGTTTACGAAAATTCTCTGACGCGTTGTGTTTATTCGCCTTATCACCAATCTACCTTTCGTAATGTTACATAATGTTCTTTCTTTCTTGCTTTCTTTGTTTCTCCCATCTGTCAAGTTTTCATTTTTCAACCAGCGATGTAATGAAACACACACACACACAAACACACTCCATAATGAATACTCTTCAAAGTCTTGTAGCATTGCACATATTTAAGGCGTACAGATTATGTGGTGAGTTAAGGTTGGCTGGGTGGGCAGATTGTGCATATGGCTGAATATAATATTCAATGTAATGTTATGTAAGAAAGAAACTTACAACTTTCAACCGCATTTTTGAAAAGTTTTCAACCATTATTCTGTAAAATGCCTATTTACCTAGATTACATGTATGCACACGTGTGTGTGTGTGTGTGTGTGATAGGAAGCGGGATAAGGTGGGGATTTGGTGGAGACCATCCCTAAGCGTAACGGTACATCAAAAACTTGTCTGTCAAACTGTCTATATAACCTGTAATCTAAACAATCATCTTATTATATATATATATATATATATATATATATATATATATATATATATATTGTGAATAAAAGTGGAAAGAATGAGGGAATTACTTCATCATTATTAAACTGGTATATTTCCACTGGGGGTGGGGTGGGGTTGTAAGGGGGAGTAATCGCGCACCCCCTGTTGTTGTTAGTGTTATTGATGGGGTAGCATTTTAGCACTTCACCCCCTCCTCCTTCTGCTTCTTTTGTTTCTCCTCCGTCTTGATTTGTATCAAACTTGTCAAAATGTGCTAAGTGAGAGGCAAATCAGTGAAAGTTGTAGGAAAACCTGAAGGAAATTGAAGATTATACATACTATTAGGTGTGGTGAGTTAGGAGCGAGGGGGCCAGAGATAGTTAAGCTCCATTTTCTGTATTCTCGTGCATCGTGTAACATTTCAACCTGTCAAGAGAATTAGAATGATGAAACATTTTTGCTAAGAATTAAAAAAAATAATAACAGAAATGGTATTTATTTGATGTAATGGGCTAAGATATCCATTAAGCCGTCGATTTATTTTTTATAAAAGACATATACTACTAACAAGATTTCAGTAGCTAGAGATGTTGATGTCAAACATCGTGAATGTTGTGTATCCTTGACTATCTCATTATTATTTCTTTATGAATTTCACCTGTTTTTTGGTGTTTTTTTCTCTGATAATAGCTCGAGCTGATGGACCAATTATTCAAGGACCACGTATCACAAATGAAACTGTAGAAGCTGGTCAAGATGCTGTTTTCCATTGTCAAGTCAATCCTGAAGAGCATCGATCAAGTACTATTCGAGTAAGTTGTGTTAGTGGGTGTTTTCTATTTTGTGTTCTTCTAAAATAAACATTCTGATTTTCTTGGATATCGTCACTGTAAAGAAAGTTTAAGTTGCCAGTCGTGTGTGTGTGTGTATGTTTGAAATTCCCTTGACAATGACCACGAACTGACGACCTCCGTTAGAGAACAACTGAGAACTAGCAGGGCGCACTGGACAGCTGCCTAGTTCTACTTTGGGACTCTTTAGAAGTACATACCTATGACCCCACCGAAGAACGAGGTGAGTTTGTATACCATTCAGCCACTAAGAGTGAATTCTAACTTCTGCCAATTCTTGACATACATAGCGCCATCAACAGGCAATGTCATTGGTGTGTACCTGTCATCACAGTCAAATCAGGGGATCCCGCTATTCCCAACTCCCCAACAAAACTTCAGCCAACTTTATAGTATACAGTCAGTAAGTAGTGAGCAGTAGGTTTGACCCCTGGAGGTGAGGTCATGGATACCAAATTGCAAATAAACATGCCTTGACCAAGTCTCTCGTCTTCTACCGTTATACTACTACCTTTAAAAGAAGGTATTTTTGTATGTTGTGAGTATATTTCCTCAACTAACTCTCTTCTCGATTATTCAATATCCAGTTCAGAGAACACAACCACATCAAAATGATTGATTATTGTTTCGATATTTTTCATTCTTTTTAGTGGGGTAAAAGTATCGACATTAATGAACGTTTAGCCTATGAAGCCGAAGGTAGAGAAGTGATCCAATGGGCTGGTGGAACATTTGTTGTCCTACCGAGTATACCAACATCTGCATTAGCTTTGAGTAAAGATTCCTCCTCCTCCTCCTCATCATCATCATCCTCTTCATCGAGACTGTCAGCAGCAGTGTCTTCATCTGGTGCTGTAGCCACGGAAGTCTCCTCCACACAAAGTAGTCAACTGGTGTTAAGACAAGTTAGTCAAGCCGATTCTGGACGATATGTGTGCTCTGTACTCACTGAAGCTGGACGAGATGATCATAAATTTGTGCATATATCTGTAATTGGTAAGTTGTCTTTTCTATTGATTGATTGGTTGATTTATTGATTTATCGGTTGTGCATCCGACTTTAAACTAAAACAACAGTCTGCTTATATCTCTGGATTACTGAATTTCATTTTATAGCCATTAAAATGTACCATACTGTTTTAACCATCCAACCACATTCATGGGTTGTAACCTACTGCCGCATACATTTTCAAAAAAAAAGGCTTCAACCACTCTGCTGATAATGAATTTTTTCGAGGGGAATGGTATGCTTCAGGTAGCACATTATTGCTTCAACTAGTGCATTATTGATTATTCTATATTACTTGAAAATCTTTTAGCATAAGTTAAATTACCTATTTGAAAATTAATTTGCAGTGTACACAGCTGGAGGAGATGAAATTATACCACAGTTTTAGATCACAATACATGTGATCGATCTTGATGTAGTTCTTGTTGACTTAGAATATACAGAAAATATAGTCCTTCTAGACGAGGACGCTGACAAAATAGAGCAGAGTCTTCTGAACACACTAAGCTACAATCTACGAATGTTTGGCATGCGATTCGCTCCCGCCAAATGTAAGATGATGTTACAGGACTGGACTACACTGACTCCTCGTTTAGAAATTGGGAGTGAAGTGTAAGAGCACGTTAACCGCTTCACTTATTTGGGAAGTACCATCAGACCCAACGGGTTTATCTCTGATGAAATCTCACCACGGATAAAGAGGGCTAGTTTCGCATATGCCAGTTTACGCCGTCTCTGGCCAAGTAGACGTGATAGCCGGTTGGCTATCGACCAAAGGGTGGGTGTACTGCTCATCAGTCCGCTCCGTCCTCCTTTATGGCCGGCTGTGAGACCTGGCCATTGAGAGTGGAAGACATGAAAGTTTGGCTATCTGGCTGTCTTTGATCATAGGTGTCTGCTCTCTATCTCCCATGTGAAGTGGTATAATAAGGTGAACAATATTGAGGTTAGGCCTCGGTCGAGTTCTAGGTAGGTGGGAGGGGAAATCAATCGACGAGGCTGTGAAGCACCTGCATCGATTGAGATGGTTAAGACATGTGTTACGCATGCATCCCTAGCCATCACCTCTCTCGACGGGGAATGTTAGCTAACATAGGGTCAGGTTGGAAAAGAGGTAGTGGCGGTCAAACCAAAACATGGAACCAGTCAATGAAATCCACAACTGTTAGTTTAAGCGACGTAGGAAAGTTTAGACGTTCTGGTTGGGGTCCTCGGGACGGTAAAACCCAGTGGTTGGAAACAATTGGTGATATGGCTCAAATTGATCGTTCTCAATGACAGCGTAGATGCATTCACTCCTTGTGACTTATAATCTCCAGTGGAATTATATTGTTCTTCGTTATTACTATTCCTTCTGTCTCATATCCCTGTCTACTGTCTCTATTATGCATTTCTTCTACTTTCTTCTGTTGCTTTGTGTGGTACATGGACGGAGTGTGGCAACTCGGACTGTCGCACATATGTGCACAGTTTTATGTCGAAAACAGACATACAGACAATTCTGTTTTGTGAACTCGTGAATGGTTTATTTGTAAAGCTTTCACTACCCCCTACTAAGCGCATACTTGAATTTGTTGAAGTGAGCTTTCAGATTTCCCCACGAGTTTATTAGTCATCTCTCCTGCCTAATATTTGAACGTTGGTTGTCCCAGTTGAAGTGATGTCTGAGGTTTTTCTGTATGCAACGATATGAGTGAGGGAGTGTATGTCACGTCTTTTGACGGTTAGTTTATGTTCATGGATACGAAGACGAAGAGGACATCGTCTATTTCGGCCAATGTAGTGTTTTTCGCAGCTGTTACAATTTATTTTGTAGATGATAGTGTCAGTTTTATCTCCTTTCATTGTTGAGTCTTTTGAATGACGCAGGGCTAGTTAAGTGAAGCGATTTTGTTGGTTTGTGAGCGACACCAATTCCTAAAGGTTTGAAGAGTCTTGAAGTGATTTATGAGATGTTCTGTATACATGGTAGGGCGACTTTCGTTGTGTTTTCCTTGGGGGGCCTTTGATCTGATAGGTTGGTTTGAGGGTAGATGTTTTTTCACAAAGTTCCGTGGATATCCATCCTTTTATTTGGAAGACGTCTATGGGATATCTTTTTTTAGTTATCCTTAAGATGGAAGTGCTGCAATGAGTCCAGGACAAAGCGGACGTCCTCTTCGTGTTCGTATGCATGACCATAAACTAGTCGGCAAAAAACATGACATTCACTTCCTCACTCATATTGCTGCATACAGACAACCACAGACATCAATTCGACTGGGACAACCAACGTTCAAATATTCGACTCGGATCGGATCCCCGAGGGTTTAATAGCTTGTTTTTCACTGAATTCATCAGCAACGTGTCCTGTGTAACTCAATTCAGGAGGCTGAATCACTTTTAATTGAGTGAACAGTCAAATTCATCATTTGTAGTTCTCAGCTTTCTGAATTGAGTCTAATCGTGTACACACCTGTAATGAATTCGGTCCCTAACATACCAAAACGGTGGCTCAGTGTTTGCATCCGGTTGCCTATCAAGCACTATACTAGTTGATGTGAGTACTACTCTCAGGTACACAAAGCAGCAGTAAAAAAATTGTTTACGAATTGATCACGGGTTGATATCAGTTAGAGAACCATTGAAAACCAGCCAACATGGAGTACTGGACAGGTGTTTCGCTAGCCTAGTTTCGGAACCATCGGCAGTAAGCACACAACACAGAGGGTTCGAACCCAGAACTTTCCTGTTATAAGGCCAGTGAGTTCGTATGCCATTCAACCTCACCGAGACCCGAATCAATGGCAGCCAGTCCATGAATTCTAACTTCTATCAATTCGTGAAATATTTACAGCGACCACCAACCAATGTCATCGGTGGGACATCCATCCTCATACTCGACATATGGATGGACCAACACTATAGAAAATTAATCTGATACTCGCTAGTAACTTGCTACAGAACAGAGTTTCCTGGAGTTCTAGTGAGATTTTGTGATCAGTGAGGTCCATCCATGGATGTCCCACCTATGACATTGGTATGATGGTTGTGCTAAATCACAAATTGTTGGAAGTTAAAATTCATGGTTGGCTGGTTGCCACTAAGTCGGGTCCCAGTGGATGATTGGTGTACGACCTCACTGACCTTGTAACCAGAAGCTCCTGGGTTCGAACCCTCTGTAGTGTGTGCTGTACTGTCGAGGATTCTGAAACTAGGCTAGCGAAACACCTGTCCAGTACTCCATGCTGGCTGGCTTTCACTGGTTGTCTCTAACTGATATCAATCTGTGATCAACTTGTAAGAAAACAAAAACTAATCCTTCTAAGCCAACTATAGAACAGTAAAAAATTTCTTTTGCTTTTGAAAGCATCAGTCAACCAAAAAAAACTTTTATTCACTCAAGTGTTATTGTTATTATTACTATTATTTGTTTCATCAAATATAACAGAAGACAGAGAGACAGAATGACCCTAGTGACAACAACAACAACAGAGAGAGAATATTTCTGCCTAAAATCTACCCTACCAGATGTGTTTTTGTTGTTTTCTCTTGTTGCTATCCTCTTAATGATATTCGATGATAGTCTTTCTCTTGAAGAAGAAAGAAATTCACTTTTAATATTTTTAATTAAATTACCTACTTACTTACTCACTTACTTACTTACTCGTCTGAGTGTCTACTTTACCTACCCACCCCCGTCACCACCACTGCCTTCTTCCTTCGCAGTGTTATACATACTCAACCACTCCCCCTACCACTCCTAAGAACATCTTCTCCCTCCACCTACCCCCCACGCACACGCACACACACACACATACACAAAGATCTTTTTCCACTTCACTAATTAATATTTCATTTTCAATATGTGTTCAATTTAGTCTATTTTAAAGTTGGCGGGTTGCTTGGTTGGTTGTTAGGGTATTGTAGTCATTAAAACAATGTCAAATATATTTCTCTTATATTGTTTGATTTAATTAGATTTCAATTTCATTAGACGACAGACACCTTTTCATCGTATATTGTTTGGTGTTTGTCATCAATTATTGTCGTCTTCTGTGTGTTATCTGATACGCTATGATGCTGTGTGCGTGTCAGTGTGTGTGTCGGTGTATGCCCGCTTTTATATAAGTGGCAGTAGAAACTAGGACCATATGTCGTCCACTTGTTATAATATGCATATACTCGGATAAAAGCTCACAACTGTCTTGATTGACAAACATCAACACCATCACCACCACCACTACCACCACCACCACCCTCAACCCACTTTGTCTCGTTTTTTTTTTAAATTTTACAAACACAAAGGGCTTGGTTACTCCAACTTCTATTACTACTATTGTCATTATTGTTGGTAATATTTACGTAGAGGTGCTCTATTTTTATACTCTTTTGGAGGATATGTCATCTTTTTATCACTACTTTATAATGCTTGTGTTCTACTCCTGTTGTCGCTGATGTTATTAATACTAGTGATGTTATTGTAGGCCTAAGGCCTAAGGCGAAAACTATTAACTAACTAGCTAACTAACAATGCTATCAGCTTCCAGCGCCTTGTTCAATCAACTAGGCATACCTACCTACCTACCTGTCTTGGATACATGCGTATATATATATATATATATATATACGCTGTTAGTAGACTGCCAGGAAATATAATTACTTTTACTAATTGAAAATTTCTGTTAATATCTGTAAACTATAAATAAACCTGTGTATCAAGGCTCTAAAATATATAATCTCCCCTCTATTTCCACCCCACCCCCCCATTGACTTGCTACCGGGGAATAATCTCGTTGACTTGGAATATGCAGACGATATAGTCCTTCTAGGCGAAGACGTTGACGAAATGCAGAGTCTTCTAAACACCTTGAGCCGCAATCTACGAATGTTTGGCATGCGATTCGCTCCCGCCAAATGCAAGATGATGTTACAGGACTGGACTACATCGACGCCTAGTTTAAAAATAGGAAGTGAAGTGGTAGAGCACGTTGACCGCTTCACTTATTTGGGAAGTACCATCAGCCCCAACGGGCTGATCTCTGACGAAATCTCAGCACGAATACAAGGGGCTCGTTTCGCATTTGTTAGTTTACGCCGACTCTGGCGTAGACGAGATATTCTACTATCGACCAAAGGGCGGGTGTACTGCTCACCAGTCCGCTCCGTCCTCCTTTATGGCTAGCTGTGAGACCTGGCCACTGAGAGTGGAAGATATGAAAAGACTAGCTGTCTTTGATCATAGGTGCCTGCGCTCTATTTCCCGTGTAAAGTGGCATAATAAGGTGAGCAACATGGAGGTTAGGCGTAGAGTTCTAGGTAAACAGGGGAAATCAATCGACGAAGTCGTGAAGCTACAAAGACTGAGATGGTTAGGACATGTGTTACGTATGCCAAGCCATCGCCTCCCTCGACGAGCTATGTTAGCGGATATAGGGTCAGGCTGGAAAAAAGCTAGCGGCGGTCAAACAAAAACTTGGCACCAGTCAATGAAATCCACAACAGTTGGTCTAAGCCAGTCACGTAGAAAGGTGTAGACTTCCAGGCTGGGGTCCTCGGGACGGTAAAAATCTATGGTTGGAAACAATTGGTGACATGGCTCAAAATCGTTCTCAGTGGCGCAGATGTATCCACTCCCTGTGACTTATGATCTCCAATGAAACTGTTTTGTATTTCTTTATTACTCCTATCTCACACCTCTGCTCACTGTTTCTATTATGCTTTTCTTGTACTTTCTTCTCTTGCTTCGCGTGCTACACGGAATGTGGCGACTTGAACTGGCGCACATTTGTGCAAAGTTCTATGTCGAAAACAGACAGACAGACCCCACCCCACCCCCCTGCAACCTGATTGACTATCGCTATCTACCAGCTATTTATTTAATAAATCTTTTTTTTAAAGTATTGGTTTTACACGGGAGATTTGATTTGATTGGTTACTGAGTTTCATCGTCCGTTGACATATCGATCATAGAACCGTTGGAAAGCCAGTCAGAGGGTACTAGAGAGCTTTTTCGTCCTAGTTTGAGCCATTGAATTGGCGGATCCTACATGACTTAATGGTCTATGAACTAGCTCGCCTTGTAACCGGAAGGTCCTGGGCTCGAAACCAAGTGGGGTGGGTGTGTACTGCTGAATCTCAAAGCGCGGGATGAAACAGCTGTCCATCCCTCTCATGTTTTCTGATGGTTCTCTAACCAGTGTTAGCTCGTGATGAAATCCTGAAATCTTTTTTCTAACCAAAGGTGTTTTGATTTGATGATTTGATTTCACTAATGAAAAGGTTAGTCACCCAGGTGGGAAGGGTGGGGAGGTTGAAAATCATTGACAACTAGAGATAGTACTTGTTTAATACTCTTCGAAAGGGTACATTCATGACTGGTGGTTGAATGACATTTTTTCGTGAGCTCGGATTCGATCTCTTATGAGCTGACGAGTGCACATGGATGAATAAAAAGTCTATCTGTCCATCTGTTTTCGACATAGAACTTTGCATCGATGTGCACACTCCCTCCTTGTATCACACAAAGCAACAGAAGAAAGTAGAAGAAATGCATAATAGAGACAGTAGACAGGGATATGAGACAGAAGGAATAGTAATAACGAAGAACAATATAATTCCACTGGAGATTATAAGTCACAAGGAGTGAATGCATCTACGCTGTCATTGAGAACGATCAATTTGAGCCATATCACCAATTGTTTCCAACCATTGGGTTTTACCGTCCCGAAGACCCCAACCGGACTGGAAGTCTACACCTTCCTACGTGGCTTAAACTAAGTGTTGTGGATTTCATTGACTGATGAGGCCATGTTTTGGTTTGACCGCCACCACCTCTTTTCCAACCTGACCCCATGTCAGCTAACATTCCCCGTCGAGAGAGGTGATGGCTAGGGATGCATGCGTAACACATGTCTCAACCATCTCAATCGATGCAGGTGCTTCACAGCCTCGTCGATTGATTTCCCCTCCTACCCACCGAGAACTCGACCGAGGCCTAACCTCAATATTGTTCACCTTATTATACCACTTCACACGGGAGGGAGATAGAGAGCAGGCACCTATGATCGGAGACACCTAGTCTTTTCATGTCTTCCACTCTCAATGGCCAGGTCTCACAGCCGGCCATAAAGGAGGACGGAGCGGACTGATGAGCAGTACACCCGCCCTTTGGTCGATAGCCAACCGGATATCACGTCTACTTGTCCAGAGACCCCGTCAACTGGCATATGCAAAACTAGCCCTCTTTATCCGTGGTGAGATTTTGTCAGAGATCTACATGTTGGGTCTGATGGTACTCCCGAAATAAGTGAAGCGGTTAACGTGCTCTTACACTTCACTCCCTATTTCTAAACGAGGAATCAGTGTAGTCCAGTCTTACATTTGACAGAGGGAGTTAATCGCATGCCAAACATTCGTAGATTGCAGCTCAGTGTGTTCAGAAGACTCTGCTCTATTTTGTCAGCGTCCTCACCTAGAGGGACTATAGAAAGTCTCAAACTAGTAGATCAGATGAACTGTCTCCTGCTCTCTAATAGCTGTCAGTGATTTGTAATATAGTCAAACACCTAAATGAAAGTCAACACATCTGAAGGGGGATACTTTGTGAGTAAAGTTTTATGGTCGACCACTTTCAACCAACTCACATCAACTCGAAAATTAGAATTCAGTGGTGACTATATTACAAAACTAAAGATGATACATTATGTCATTACTTATTCTGCATTTCAGTGATTTACAGTTAATAGTGAGTCCTACTAGTCTGGAAATTCGATTGGTTCATTCACTTAAGAGTCTACAGAGATATGCAACTAACAGGTCATGGGTTGAAGTACTGCTGTACCTACCTACTGCGTAAGTATTGTAACGACAGAAGAGACACCAGTATTTAGTAAAGGAATTATTTATTGGTAATCGATACTCAAATAATAGTCAAAATGATTGTACTATGACTTTGTGCTGCTTTCATGTTTCTCATGTTGCTTCCCAAGTAAATTCGTTCATTAAACTCATCTTTGTGCTATACGGTATTATTACAGCTGATATACCTATTTATATCTGCATCTATTTACTACTCATAAATCTGGTCAGTAGTACATGCCATGCAGTACCAGCATCCCTTCACACAAAAAGTGTAGCTCATAGCCTGGTACATGGAAAATTGGTCCTGGATAGTTGAGTTTGAATATGAAAAGCCCGACTACAGCGCTGAACAACGCGGGTTCAAAGTTTTGTCCAATGGATCACGATGAGTATTGGTTATTCTTTAGAGCTATTTCGATTCTTTCGTCATTTCGTTTCATTCCACCGAGTTAACTGATTAACTGAGTCAGCAATAAGCTAAACATCTTCATGACACAGTCAGTAACTGAACTTATATTTTCATCTCTGGAACAACGGTTATATTGATGAGTTCTAATAGGTGCGAAACATGGAAGTTTGATGTTGATTTAAAGCGATGATACGATTAAGTTCAACTTCCTGTAAAAATCATCAACTTTTCCTCTCTTTATTTTTTTCATTTTAGGTGGTTCTTCTGTTCAAGGTCATAAATTGACAGGTGGCAGTGGAACACATCGATTAACTTTATATATCGCTATTCCAACAACAATATTTTTTATATGTTTATGTGTTGTAACCTATTGTTTAATCAGTCGACGTACAGCACATAATCGACGTGCATCAAATGTTCGTCATCAACGAAATTATTTTAGTGCAGTACAACAATCACAGATTAAATCGTCATCTGCAGCTAGTAGCACATCGATAGGCGTATGTCGTAATGGAATGAATGGTCATGGTGGTGGTGGTGGTGGTGGTGCTGGAATGAATACAAGCAGTGGTGATAGTCGTTTAAGACCATCACCAGCTGGTACAACAGCCCTAGGGACAACTTCATTAGGTTATTCATCTGTAAATGGATGTTCAAATTCAATGAATACGGGTAATGGGCCAATGGGTCCCCAAATGTCAACTCCAAATTATCTACACAATCCTACTGGGCTACAAATGGTACAAGGAAGTGGTTATCCGGTACTAATTCAATCACAACAACCAGTAACACAATTTTATTCTGTACCAGATTCTTATGGTCAAAATGTATCTCCAATTACAAATATAGCTAATAATAACAATGCTGGTTTAATGTACCCTATGGCAAATGGTCATGTTATCAATCAAACTGTTTCAAATCTTCCGCCAAATTCAATATTCAATTCATCTCCAGAATCATCTGCTGCTGGAATAAACAACACCCACACCAATAATAATACTAATAACAATGGGAACATTGAACCAGTGGAAGGTCGATTAATGTTTCGACCTCAACCACAATTAGCAAATACGAATACAGGGAATACACTACGTGGTTATGGTTATATGCCTCCACCATCTGGTCAATCATATATCTCTTCGTCTGGAATTAATACATCAGATTATGAAATGACAATTACAAATACACCAGCATCATTAATGTCTTACCCAAATCATGGTAATGCATAATTTTAGTTGATCGTTTATACTTACACTCTGTCTCTCTCTCTCTCTCTCTCTGTGCCATCAATTTTTTATTGATTTTGTTGTTTTGTTACTTCAATGATTAATAACAGAGAGTTAGCAGGAATGGAAGAATTAAAGTGACCGGTAACAGGGTATTTAGGTGATTTTTTTCGATAACATCTTCCCTTTTATTTGTACATATGTTATTATTATTATAACTTACTATAGTTTTGTTTATTTCAAGGGAACAGTTCTTTGCATTCTCCTGAATTTTCTATGTTTATGTACCTATGCGTATACCTTTTCTTCTTCTGTTTGTTTGTTTTCCAACCAACTAACAATTTAAATACACACACACGCACACACAGACAAGAATTTTTGTTCGGATTAACTTAGTTAAAAGCGAAATTGACAATTGTTCTCGCATTTGTTGCCATCTTCTTCTTTTTTCTCCTCCTCTTTTTCAACTGTCTTTCTTACATTACTATTATTACTATTGTGACGAATACTAATACTGTGGGAAAATTGACCTTGAACTTTGTGCGTGTGTGTGTGTCTCGGTTGAATACATAAACAAATCCCTCATTTATACAGAATGGTGTACGTGAGTATCTGTTTGTATGTATGCGACCTTATTATTATTATTACTACTACTTTCAATTGTTTCAATTTCTAGTCAACTATTACGCAATCTCTATTGATCTATAGATCTGAGAAGTTGGGAGTAATGTTCTCTTCACCATGTCATTTTTGTTCTTTTTTGTTTTTCTCTCTTTAGTGATTAAAATCACTCCTTTGAAAAAGAGAAAACAATTAGGTTATTTAGTTATTCGAATTGGAACAAGTATTATGACATGTTACATCGATATGCATATTTATATGACAATTTATTTTAGGTGTAAAAATCTCTCCTCTTTATTCCGAAGGGAAAAACAAAACAATTACTACACCGGTTAATAATTAACATCTTTTTTTGTTGTTTTTGTTGTGGTTGCAGAAACCATGTATTTGTTTGTTATGCCTATCCTATTTATAAATAAATAAATATGTACAATTTTGTTATTGAAACATTGAAGCACTTTTTTTTGTTATCTCAAAGTAATATGCTTTATTCTAACAACCAATCAAATATCAGATTCATCGAAGTTTTGACCTTCAACCGCCCACACATACAATAACGAATAACCTTGACTCCTACCACTACTACAACTGAGCATCAGTTTTAATCGATTTTTTTATTTTGAAAAAAAATTCAATAGCATATGCGCGCATCACACGCACAACCATTTATTTAAAAAAGATTGGATAATTTTTATTGAGTCATAGATAGGCATCAATCAATCATGATGACATTATGCCTCTTCTATTTTTTTCTTCTTCGTTGTCTTCTTCACATACAAACTCTTTCTCTATATGTAATGTTAAGTTTTAATAATCAGCTATTTTTCTTCATTTCACCGGCTACAACAGGGTATTTTGTAAATGTATTTATGAAATGTTGAGGCACTCGAAAATGACATACACTCATACACCCCCTCCCACACACATACACACTCGTATACAATAATTAATCCTCAAATGTTTTGCTTCTCTTTCTCTCTCGTTTTTTTGTGAATACATAAAATAATACAATTATTATAATAATTATTATTATTACTAATACTATTACTGTTTGTTTTAAGTAATATATTTCATTTGAAGAAAACAGAAAGTGAGTGTTAAATTTCGTTTCTTTTTATCGATATCCTTCGAAGGGAGTGATATCTGTGAGGATAAAATCTATCGTAGGGTATTTTCGCGCATAGTTTGGCAAACGTGCAATAGGTATCCCAATTGCATAGAAAATAGTCAATAAAACTCCTTTAAAATAACCAAATGTAGTATCTGATGTAATGATCACAGAATCCTTTTAAAAACACGCCTAATACCCTAAATCATCACATAAAATCACCACCTACCTACCTAGGGAAATTCACATTGACCGCTGAAATGAAAGTGCGCCACGCCATAACTAATATACTTACTCGAGTGGTACTACAAGGATGATTTCAGTGTGGTTGTGTTCTCTCAGCTGGATAGTTAGTTTGCGAAGCTTTCACTGCCTCACCTACTAGGCAACATCTTCAGCGAATACTTCAATGAGTTGAAGTTAGCTTAAAGATTTCTCCATGAGTTTATTAACCATCTCTCCTGGTGGGTGACCTTGAGCATCGTGATTGGTTGTTTTTGTGTGTTTTTACACCATCTAGGCTACTTGTATTGGAACTGATTGTTTCTTTGACCTGAATTTTCACCCATTTTGTGTGAGATTTCCTCCTTATCGATTGGAAAGTCTTGTCTATCTCGATGTGTCTATTAATTGACGATTCACTGGAATACCAGACTGGCTTCTAAAAATTTTCTAGCATTCTTGGTGTTTCCTCTGTCTAATATTTGAACGTTGGTTGTCCCAGTCGAGTTGATGTCCGTGGTTGTCTGTATGTAGTGATATGAGGGAGTGGATTTCATGTCTTTCGGTTTGTTTATGATGATGGATACGGAGATGAAGTGGACGACGTCCCCTTTGTCTTCGTATTCATGAACATAAACCAGTCGTCAAAAGACATGACATGAACAAAATTCACCAATCGATAAGAAGGAAATTTCCCACACAAAGGGTCAAAGTTCAAGTCAAGAGAACATTCAGTTCCAATACAAATAGCCTGGAGGGCGTGGAAATACACAAAAACAACCATTTACTTTCAAAGTCAGGTCACCGGGAGAGATGACTAATAAACTCCTGGAGAAATCTTAAAAAGCTCACTTCAACTCATTCAAGTATGATGCGTTGAAGATGTTGCCTAGTAGGTGGTGAGGCAATGAAAGCTTTGCCAATAAACCATTCACCAGCTCAGCTGAGACAACCACATCAAAATCATCCACCTGAGCTACAAATCTTCTCCATCATATCTAAAGATGATTTCCAGTGGTCTGTTAAAATATCTAATAACTTCTACACAATGTATGATATCTTGTGGAGCTTGAAGTAGCCAGAGATAGTTCTTCAGTTTGTGTAGAATAAGTTAAAATGCATTGTACTCCATAAGTGGAGTATTTTGATAATGAATTCCACATTTGGTTCTCGCTCTCTCTCTTCGTAAGTAGTACAATATGGTGAGTAATACTGAGTTTAGGTGTAGAGTACAAGATAAGGAAGGATAGTCAATCGATCAGGTTGTAAAGTTACATCAATTAAGATGGCTAGGACACGTGATGTGCATGTGGACCCACCTGCCTCCTCAACAAGTAATGTCAGCTGACAGAGGCGTGACGTAAGAAACTTTCAGCCATATCATAAAAGCTAGGGTGGCATACGTTAACTTTAGCCACCTCTGGCGCCGTCGTCATGGTAGCCCGGCTGTCAAAGGTCGGGTTTACAATGCTTTAGTGTACACAGTCTTGCGCTACATCTGTGAAACCAGGCCTCTTCAAGCTGAGGATGTGCGGCAACTCTGCGTATTTGATCATCGCTGTTTCCACAGGATTGCTTGCGTTTGATGGCATCATCGTGTAATTAATTCTGAGGTCCGGCAACTTGTGTTTGGACACAGTGGAGATCACCATTAGTTCATCGAGTGTCGTCATCTGGAAACACCGGCTTCGATGGCTTGGACATGTGCTGCGAATGTTAGCCCACAGGACTTTGTACCGGTCTTTGTTCGCTAGCTCTACGACGGGATGGAAAAAGTGGAGAGGTGGTCACCACATAACGTGGAGTCATGGGATGAAGGATATTTGTAGTAGGTTAGCATTGGTCGGTGCATCACAACTCCCTGGTTTGGATCCGAAAGATAGCCCAAATCGGTGGCTTGAAACGTTATCAGATATGGCGAAGAATCGCAGTTATCATTGGGGACTTGCTGCAATTTCCTTCATTCTTCCCTTTCTGACGATAATTGACGAATGCCGTTTGGACGTGTTTAATATGGCTGTTTCACTTCCAGATGAAGTACTTCATCCGTTCTCTCCGTATACTTTTACTTTCAAATGAAGCGGTGTGCACCTAAAATTCCACAGCTTCTAGTCATTCAGTTACGAAAGAACTGTAGTGAAAACGCTTTTAACTATCCATTAAAAGTTTTTCAAAAGAATGGTTACTGAACAAAGAATATTCTTTTCGATAACCTGCTCTTTATTAGGTTCTACAGTTAGATATACATAATAGTGAATGAATGAATGAATTAGTGTTATAAACAACAACATTAATGTTGTTTAAATAACATCGAATCAATAATATTGATAGATTACAGCTCAATAGCATCGACATAAAATAAAAATTTATCGAGAAACACATGACAACGAAAGTGGAAAAGGACTACTCACTACTCTGTAAACAAGAAGCCACTTTATGTACGACTACAATTCAACGACGATCGATATACCAAGTGAGATAATTACGAGGAACTTGAGAAAATCAGTTGAAAGAACTTTTAATGCTGGCGAACTGCACGTATTATTGTCTACACGACCGATCGTGCTACCTCGACTGAAAGATGAAGTACCTAGACTAGCTGGTCACTTCAAATTGTATCTATCAATCTGACTGCACTTGTTGTGGAGCGAGTTATATTGACCGTTGCTCTAGGAACTTGATTTTTCGTATTCGAGAACATCTCCAGTATGGCTAAATAAAGGTTTACTTAAAACCATCAACGTGCATTAGTGGCACAGCGGCTGGGACGCTCGCCGACCATGAATGTGGTCCGGGGTTCGATTCCTGGTCGACGCACTTATTTACTTCGCTAAGCCAGAAAAAGTGCTGGTAAAGAGGGAAGGTTAGGCATGAGGCTAGCAACCCCATCCTGTAAAAATAAATACTGCATAATTTGCATTTTAAGTGACTAAAAATGGCCATTAAAATTTTTCAAAAGAATCGTTATTGAACGAAGAATATTCACATTTTCGACAACCTGCTCTTCATCAGGTTCTACAGTTATATATCCATCCATAATAGTAAGTGAATG